GAGCGTGATGACAGCCAGCGTGAAATCGAATACTGACAACTGCGCCCAGCACAAATATTTTTTACTGTGCGTTTCCACTTAAACACGTGTCGAGCCAATTACATATGTATGGGGTTTAGAGACTATTCCACCGAAGCCTCGGATAATACGCGCTCCTCACATCTCGGTTTCGTAGAAGGGGAATTTGGCCTAATAGGCCTCCGGCGAGCGCGCAGTAAATCATCTTTGCAGCCCGAAGCCCGTGCAGCCCACCGGCCCGCTGCTCCGCGGCTCCCCGCCCCTGCACCTGGGAGGATTGTAATTCCCTCGCGGAATTGATTCCCGCGTCCCGCGCATTAGTCTCCCTGTCTTCCGTTTGGCCCGTTAGTTTGCTGACAGTAGAGTACACAGCACTTAGCGGCCGGCTTGGGGAGCCATCAGTCAGGAAATCGTCTGATAAATAGGAGGAGCCCGGGTTCCTGGCACTTGCTTCTGCTTCAGCAGTTTTCGCCCGACTTTGGAGAAGTCATCACGCGGGGTTTTGTCAAGGGCCGCGGGGACGAACGGCGCCCCGGGACCTGCGGGGAGGAGGACGCGGTGGCGGCGGGGACCCGCGCCTGCTCTCGGGCCGGCGTGTCCTGGGCGGCGTCGCGGCTGCCCAGCCTGCCGTGCAGGCGACGGGCCAGAGGCCACGAAAGCACCCAGCGCGGGGGGGGGGGGGGTTCTTCCTTTTTCTTTCTCTCTTTCTTTCTTTCTTTCTTTCTTTCTTTCTTTCTTTCTTTCTTTCTTTCTTTCTTCTTTCTTTCTTTCTTTCTTTTAAATCTTTGAGAAAATGTTGTGATGCTCCGTGTCGTGGGATGCAGACATGGTAGGACAGGATGCAGACAGGATGCTCCATGTCGTGGGATGCCACAGACCCAGTAGGACAGGATCAGCGAGGCTCCACATCATGGGATGCAGACATGGTAGGACAGGATCAGGGAGGCTCCATGTCATGGGATGCAGACATGGTAGGACAGGATCAGGGAGGCTCCATGTCATGGGATGCCACAGACACGGTAGGACAGGATCAGCGAGGCTCCATGTCGTGGGATGCCACAGACACGGTAGGACAGGATCAGCGAGGCTCCATGTCATGGGATGCCACAGACACGGTAGGACAGGATCAGCGAGGCTCCATGTCGTGGGATGCCACAGACACGGTAGGACAGGATCAGGGAGGCTCCATGTCGTGGGATGCCACAGACACGGTAGGACAGGATCAGCGAGGCTCCACATCATGGGATGCAGACATGGTAGGACAGGATCAGGGAGGCTCCATGTCGTGGGACGCCACAGACACGGTAGGACAGGATCAGCGAGGCTCCATGTCATGGGATGCCACAGACACGGTAGGACAGGATCAGCGAGGCTCCATGTCATGGGATGCCACAACACGGTAGGACAGGATCAGCGAGGCTCCATGTCATGGGATGCCACAGACACGGTAGGACAGGATCAGCGAGGCTCCATGTCATGGGATGCCACAGACACGGTAGGACAGGATCATATACTCTTTTTAGTCTTCATTTACGCCGTCTTCAAGCGTGTCTTGAATGGGGAGAGGAGTGTCCCGTTGCGTTTGTCCCAGAAGGCAGCGAGGTGCCGTCTCCACTCCACTCGTAGCCGATGCCCCAGGAGTGGTGGTTTGCACAGACTTCATCAGTCCACGATGAGTGGTTTTAGACTACATCAAGAGGGAAGCAAATCAAAATGGTAAAATACTTATTAAACCAAGACCAGATGTGTGCTCAGATCAGATCCATCCCTTTTTGTTCTTTATTTACCCTAATTCCAGAACGCAGAATCCACGAGTGTCCTTAGGGCCCTAAAGGAACACACACTGTCCATCGGAATGAGCTTCGACGCTCACAAAACCCCGGACTCAGCAGCGGGAGAGGACTACTGACGCCTCAGTGATTGTGTCTTCCAGTTTCTTCTCACATCGTTTTGCAGCACCTGGCCATCTTCTCTTTTCATTCTGAAAGGAGAGAGGGAAAGAGCAGGAGGGAATTAAAGTCCTGTCGAAATACGTTCTGGTTAAAACGAAAAGGTGGCGGTGCCTTTTAAATATCCATGACAGCCCTATCGATTTCCTTGGGGAGGAAATTTTTATGCAGCTCGGGTGTACTCTTGATTTTATAGGATCAACAGGTTGGTCTTCGCCTGTAATCAGCTCAAGCTCATTATCCAAAGTCAAGCGATAAGGAGTCTTAACTTCCTGGACGCATGAGGCCGATACTCAGTGTGGAATAAATTCACACACTTTGAGCCCTGTGTATATGAAAAATGTGGATTTGGGGCCTTGTCGTAATTCATCACTGAACCCACATAGAGAAAATCAGATACAATTGACACCCACTTATCTGGTGGAGAGAATTTAATCACACAGACCACAGCCAAGAGCCAAGGAGGAAAGAAGTGAAAAGATCCTCCAACTCTGACATACTTGTCACAATGTCCCTGGAAAATGTGTGGGACGAGCCTTCAGGAGGAGGGTCAGGTTTCATGAACGCTTGACCAGAACACGGTGTTAGTGGCCCTACTTTTCCGATTTCCAAGTGCATGCAGGTGATGTGAGCTGAGTTTGAAGGTTTGAAGTCTGCTGGAGGCACGCACGTGTGTTCGCATGAGCACCAACCACCGAAAGGAGAAGAGAAAGAAGAACCACCCCTGAGTCTGGCGGCCGTCTGCCTCACCCTGGACTCAAACCTGACACATGTGGGCCTGTTTCAAAATTTAAAATCAGGAAATATTTACTGAATGTGTGTCAGACTCCCAAACTACTGAAAAAGGTGGCTCCACTCCGTTGTATGTTGTTTTAAGAAGTATGAATAATTTGCATTGGAAATGATTAAGCGAGGGACACCTGGGTGGCTCAAGGCGTGATCCCGGGGTCCTGAGATCTCCCTCTGCCTATGTCTCTGCCTCTCTCTGTGTCTCTGTGTCTCTCCTGAATAAATAAAATATTTAAAAAAATATTTAATGTGTAAGCAGAATTGGACATTTTGGCTCTGCGTGGCTCACCGGGTTTGACAGCAGCGCTGGATACGCTTTCAACGTCAGCACGCCAGCCACGGAGCTTTGGTGACAAAAGAGTAACTCCATCCTCCTTTCATAGTTAAGTCCTAAGCAGTGCACTTAAAATATGATTGATTTTTTTCGCGTGGAATTTATACAGCGTATAGTGTGGTAAGCCATCAGGGAGTTGGAAATCCCTCACCTGCTCAGTGTCCAGCGTGCCTCGACTGGGTGACAGCACGGAGACAGCAGCGCGGCACCACTGCGCTGACTCCCACCTTTACCTTATGGTAGACATTGCATGCAGTCAGCAAGCCTGTGAGGCAAACATCACATCCTCTCTCAGTCCCAGCGGTTTTCCAAGAAACCTTCTACATCTGATGGAGCGTAGCTTTGGGCACCTCCTTGGTTCTCCCAACACTGCGTCCATAGTTTTTCACTCTTATTTTTTTTCTTCTTCTCATAACCTTACTGGTAGATTCTCAAAGGAAGGCAGCAAGGGCAAAGTTCAGACAAGGGTCGTAAGGTTTCATAATTTTTTTTTTCGATTTTAATTTATTCATGCATTTCCTTCAGACTTTGGGAAAATGCTGGAAGCCCTGCCGAGGCACCGTTGGTGCGTGCATCAGTCCCCGGGAATGTTTTGGGGCGATAGCTGTTCTCCCGCAGGTGCCAGGACAAGTGTGTGGGAAGGTAATATTTGATGAGAGGCTTTGGCGCGAGGCTCATGGCCTTGGAGACACAGCGTCGCTCCATCACCTTGCTTCTTGGAACTTGGGGGAAACTTGAGTATCAGCCATGCTTCTGATGAGAAAAATCTGGCAAAATTCTCTTTGGGTTTTGCAGTGAATCACTATTTAGAAAAAAAAAAAAAGTTTATGTTCAGATTTTTCAGAGGCAGTCTGCTTAAGTTACTGTACTAAATGGGAGTGGAGGAGCTCTCGGAGGTCCGCGCACCCACAGGAACCCCGGAAACGCTGACAGCAGCCTGAGCCAGAACAGAGGGGGGCTGGTCTGGGTCCAAGGAGAGGGTCAGGGCTGCAGGGCCGGCATTCCTTCCTTTGCTCCCAGCCTCCCTGTCCGTGTGACAGGGTCCGCTCACCTCTTCCAGCCAGGCCCTGGCGCATCTCTTCAGCTGACCTACAGATCTGCTGCCCTTTCCTTGTGACAGGACAGTGGAGTCCTGACCCTCCTGACAGGGAGGAGGGGAGCGTGCATTTAAATTCTAAAACCGTGGGACCCCTGGGTGGCTCAGTGGTTGAGTGTCTGCCTTCGGTTCAGTGCGTGATCCCAGGGTCCTGGAATCGAGTCCTGCATCAGGCTCCCTGCATGGAGCCCGCTTCTCCTTCTGCCTGTGTTTCCGCCTCTCTCTGTGTGTAAAATAAGTAATAAAAAATAACAAAAAATAAATTTTAAAATCGTGTGTGTGTGCGCGTGTTCCATACATATGCACGTAAGTGTGTACGTACATGTATATAGACCCATGGATTGTAGCAGGGACTTTTTTATTTTTTATTTTTTTCTGGCTGGGGCTTTAGAAAAGACTCCTTCCTTTAAAAAGCATCAAGGATGGGAGAGAGATGAAACTAGTATTTATATTACGTCTTTGTCTAAATTTCACCTGGCAGTACAATTGAAAAGAACTCTGTGTCCTCAGATCTGGTCCTTCGGGTTTTGCGGCTCCCTTCAGGCCTTCCCTTCAGGACAGGACACCTGTTATTCTCCTTTTCTTGCTTTTTCTTGGGGGTTGTAGCTGCAGCCCTTGGGGCAGGTGCTAGGTGCTTGCTCATACTTCTCCAGGACCCCCGTACCTCCGAATGAACTCGAAAGACCGCTTCCCCAGGTTCTTCAACGTGGGCTTGGCCTACGTTGCGAAGGAAGTATGGCGGCGTGGTGTCATGGGTTGGGGTCCTGTTGCAGAGCGTTTCTTTTATACATGCTGGATTTTCTTTCTGTTTCAGACCCTTCTCATCTCTTTCCTGCATTCCACCCTCCTGTACCAATCGATGCAAGACATCATGAGGGGCGTTACCATTATGACCCGTCTCCGATTCCTCCATTGCATGTGTAAGTAGTCACACTTTACCCACTAACGAAGCAGAACAGAACACGAGCTTTCACTGTCTCACGACTTTTGGTGAACGGTGCGGCTCCTGGGCTTTGAAGATGTGATACAAGTGTAAGATTTACTTTTGAAATATGGCAAGCCTATCTGTTCCTGGACTCACTGAAGCAAATCCCCGTCGCTTCCTGAAGAATGCCTGTCACACTAGGTGGCTGGCAAGTATTCACTGTATATGGTGCTGACGTGTGTTCTGTGGGCCGTAAATACTAAATTAAAAAGGTAGAGGTCTAAGTGGGAAGTTACCACTCGGAATAGGTGTGTGGGAGAGGTTGGGTTTGAAGTTTTTCATGCTAACGTTTCTGTTCCCTGGAAGTCCCGTCCCAGCGGTCGCCATGAATTGTCATGAAATTTTTATGGTGAATTTTCAGGGCCCCCACGGTGTGTAGAGCGACAGTGACTTGATTGATGGGGAGGTCTCCCAAACGGGATGGCGCATGTGACCGAGCACATGATTTACACAAAGATAAAGGGAAGGAATGATGGTGATCACATCCGTTAGGACAGGAAGCAGAAGAACACTTTGTGGAAATAAATAGTATCTCACCCAGGTTGGGGGTAGAAAGAACAGTGGATTTCCACGCGAAGGTGGCATTCTTTTGTTGCGATGTCCGGAAAACTGTCGGATACTATAATTACTGATGCCAGCGCCTGGGAGGGGCCACCCCTTCATTCAAGGGCCCTTGATGTATACATTTAGTCAGATCTGGTAATCACCCTTCATTCTGAGACAGTAAAGTTAGAAAAACACAAATAATACTTTGAAGAATAATGCTGGTTATTTAGATGGTGGATTGCGTCTCCATGGCCATTAGTTAAGCTGTGTAATTACGTATGTGCCAAAGAAAAATGAAGTTGTTTTAAAACAAGTCCTCCTCTGTGAACAGAATTAATTGATATTAACAGCCGTAACTACATGCCCAAGTACACATATAATATTTTACCAACAGTTTTTTGGATCCATCCCCCATTATTGAATTGTAATTTCAGAGCAGATTTGCCTGGAGGTAAGTAATAAATCTGTGTTGCAGACTTCCATAAGCATTAAAGGAGAAGTGGGTATTTATAGAGAGAGAATACAGAAACTTGTGACTTATTCTTTGACTTTTTTTTTTTGTTGAAACACAAGTAAGTATTTACAGGGTTCTGAAGCCTGCTAAAAATATACTCAAATAAAACCATGAGGCCAATTAAAAACCCCTATACGGAAAGAGAAGGAAATTCCAAATTCAGGCCGAAACCTGCCATGTAATTCGTCCTGTGGTATGGAGGCTTTGCGGGGCAGATGGGACCTCAGAGGCCCTCGACGAGGCTCTGCCCCATGGGGTACAGAGTCAGCAAGGGCCAGGCCCGCCTTGGAGATGCACATGGCTCATCCCTCTCACACTCCAGTCTCTGTGATGCGGTAATTTATATCAGATTTCCTGTGGAATTTCAGAATGCTTTACTCTTTCAAAAAGACTGCTATAGAGAAACTTCCCCCCGGATTGAGGTTATATGATGGAATGAGCTAGTTCCTATGGATTCATTATCGCTTGCCTTGTTATTAAATAATTCAAATGTGACTCTACCAATAAAAATCCCACGTCTTGGTCCTTTGCCAGAATGCAGCAACAGCAAGTGCTCATGTGGCCCATACCTTGCGGTCGGGGCCCTGGTCACTGTCCCTTCAGGATTAGCTCGCCTGTGACAAAAACACCACAGGCTTGAGGCAGGTCGGGTTTGGAAAGTCCTGGGAGTTGGGGGTTGCATTTCAGGTATGACTGCTGAGCTGGGGTTTTTATAGGTTTTAGGACTTCCTGCTTTTCTGGCCAAGCCTTAGGGTACTTTCACACAACCGACTGAACTGTTCCCTAGCTGCCTAAACGGATAGCTCTCAAAATTCATAACGTGAGGCGAGTCGATAATGCCGAGGCCCAGAGGAGGGTCCTGGAGTCTTCTGAGAGGGGGCGTCATTGCCCCGTGCAGAGGGCAGTGGGAAGGTGGGTCCGTGGCCGTCCAGGACAGCTAGGCCTGGAAGGGCTCTGGGTGGAGACCCGAGAGCTTATGTGGTTGGCCCGGGAGGCTTGGACACATGTGTCTCTGGTGCACCCTTGGAACAGTATGTTCTCTCCGCATTGCCCTCAGTGGCCCTCCTCCTCTGTGTGACATACCCCTGCTTCAGCTCCTCATCCTCAAGGCCTCCTTCCAGGCTCATCCCTCCCCCCAAAGCCATCTCTCTAGCGCCCCACGTTTGCCCTTACTTTGGGGTACATCATCTTTCTGGTGATTTCCTGCCCCTGCTCACTGCCCCCTGCTAGTTTGCAGGCAGTGCCCAGCACCCGGCCAGGCACCCTGTAAAAGGTGCTTGGTGGACACTCAGCTTGTCCATCTGGGAGGCGGGATGAGCGGGACAGCGCTAATGCCCCCCACCCTTGCTTTATCACACTCACCTGTCCTGGGAACTCTGGTAACCTACCCTTGCCTTTCACTGCCTGGAAATGCAGTTTCGGCCTTCCTGGATCTCCAGACTGCAGGAGGAGTTCAATGATGTCATGTGCGTGTGAGCACTCTCAAGAGCACAGAGCTCCAAACACGCTGGGAGCCAGCATCCGAGGTAGCGGGGGCCTGAGAAACACGGGCCTCGCTCAGTCACGACCCACTTCCAGGCCTTTGCACCTTCTGAGGTGCTAGGAGTGGCCACCTGTGATCGTTTTAGGATCGGAGAGTAATCTGGGCAAGTATGACTTGGTTGCTGAAATCTTAAAAGCACATCCATTAAGAGTAAAATGGTTTTATCTAGAACTCGGGTTCCAAATTGCTTGCTCGTAATTGTCTTCTAGAAAATGAGATCAAGTGAGCTTACGGAGTTTTTAGAATAAGCATTTTTAATTATAAGAAGACCAAATTTGGGGGGATACTCTCATTATTTTGTACACATAATTGTCCTTCTGGTGCCAGCTTTAAAAATGAAATTATAAGTCTCTTGAAAACAGGATTTGTGTTGGTGATGGAAGCACTGGCAGGTCTCTGTTTAGAAGGATGGCAGGCGCTGTGATAATTATGCTATCATATCCTATCATTAAAGATTCTATTGAAAGAGGTTTATAAATTGCTCCTCTTTTTAGATAAACCACCCTATATTAAGGCATCAACGATATGGTGCAGAATTAAATTAAAATCTCATAAAATGAAATATGTTCCGTATTAGCTGTTTGACACTTAATTTGCCTCTGAATGAGTAGAGGAAATCACAAATTAACCTGCCTTTGTTTTTCCAACCATGGCTTATTAGGTGTTAGAACAACTACAATTACAGCCTAATAATAACCACCAAGCCTTATAAATATGTACGGAAATGCGTCCGTTTGCATTAAAGCACCAGCTTGTTAAATGCAGTGTCTTTAGCTTACCCTGCCTCCCTCTCAGGGCGTCATCCACAGTGCATGGGTACGCAGTGTAGACAGAGCATAGAAACTCACATTAAGTGTCCTGGAAATAACAGTAGAATTTATTAGTATTTCCTTTCTCAACTCAAAATCATGACTTCAGGTTCACGGACTTACAGGTGGAACAGTGGATCGTAGGCATCTCCTTTTCCTGAGTCATCACCTAAAGATTGCCATAGAAAATGTATAGCTCCTGCATTATGTTCCTTTAATTCAAGTAGTTTGGAAATTAAGGAACACTAAAGGTGGAGAATTTCCCCTTTTCCTCTGAGAGCTACACTCCACAGACTTCACCAGGACTTGTGCCCAGTCCATACACCGGAATGTCTCTTGCTCTCTCAAACCGTTTGCTTGGACCACAGATTCTGTGTTTTATTAAGCCATCCAGGAAAAAAAAAAAAAGTGCATTTTTCAAAAGATTTTCTTTATTTATTCATGAGAGACACAGAGAGGCAGAGACACAGGCCAAGGGAGAAGCAGGCTCCTCGCGGGGAATGTGATGTAGGACTCGATCCCAGGACTCTGGGATCACGACCAAAGGCAGTTGCTCAACCACTGAGCCACCCAGGTGCCCCCAAAAAGTGCAGTGTTTTGGGAAAATGTCAGTGAGTGCACTTTATTGTATTTCAGAGATTTTTTTTGGAGCATTAAAGGCAGAACCCGAATGTGTATCCAGAGTGGAGCTGATCTTTCGCTCCTGGTCTCCTTGTATTGCATGCCTTGCATTGTTCTCTTTGGGGCTGCATGCAGGCCTGCATAACTCCAGGAGGCGTCATTGTGTGCTATGGGGGTGCACGATGCTCTTGAGGCTAAAAATGAGTGTGCATCTTTGGATTTTACTTGGGAATTTAGACAGCTGCAATATTAAGCTCCCCTCTCCCAAAATACAGTTAGATGTTCAAGCGACTCTACATTCACCCTCATCAAGAAAGTACTTTTTTCTCTTTTGAGTATGAGCATTTTGAGTGTGAGCTCTAAAAAAAAAAAAAAAATGGTGTTCAAATTCATGTAAGCGTGTCCCTTTTAAAAACTAGACAGAGAGTATTTATTCATAGAAACCCAAATTATAAAGTTTTAAATTTTGCATTTCTTCTGAATTTTCCCCTGGAAGAAATGTCTGTCTTGTACCTACAGCTTTTTGGAGCGAGAGGGTTCTCATTTATGGACCAATATGAATTGAATTTCAGAGAGTCCGTTTGCTTCATACTGAACTCTGCAATTCATTTTGCAAAGTGAGATCCTTAGTTACTAATCCATGGCGGTGATTCAAGCCCCAAGAACCTTGCCAGCTGAGCCAGGAGCTGCCCTTGTCTGGAGCCGTGGATGTGGACAGGGCTGTGCTCCCAGCTCGCAGTCACAGAGGCTGTCACCCTTCACCATCCACGTCACTAATTCACCCCAGAAAACCCACTTCACCTTCCCTCTCTTGGGGGAGATGAGCACTCGTGTTCTGGTTTATTCGGCAGCTCTTTATTCTCTTGCTTGACTCCATGTGGCTCTATCTGGGGCTGCCCGAC